ACCAACCACTTCATTGCCTCACGAAGGAGCGCATACCCAACGTGGTGCCTATGTACTGGTCCTGCGAAATGCGCCTCCACGTCTTGGATGACTGGCCCACCTGGCCGGAGGAACCTGTAGTGTTAGGGGGTTGGCACGTCATGAAGGGTGAGGTGGGTACTCACCTGAATGAGAGCCCATACGTCCAGGTAGCTGAAGATCTGCCACACGATTTCGTCAGGCAGCGACGTCCAATCAACCCAGGACGGCAGAGCATCTTCCTCTTCCGCTTTCTGTTCCTCATCTGATTGATGGTCCGTATGCAGGTGCCTTCTCAACTCGACTGCCTGGTGATGGGGCTTCTTCGATTGCTTGAGTCGTTCCTGGAAGCGCCGTGGTGGGCTGCTGCGACGGTCCTCCTTGGCCCCGGGCTGTGCGAGCTCGTCGTCATCAAAAGAGATGTAAATCACGCCAGCATTCTTGGCCGGGTCGTCCATCTTCTTGCCGCCCTCCAAAGGAAGCTTTTAGAAGGATCCTATCCACCTATGAGTCCAGTCCTCTGGCCGGACAATAAGAGCCCGAGAGATCTCACATGCGTTGGTTTTCTAGCTGGTGTGGTGGTGGATTTCGTTGCACCTTGTTCCTCGAATTTTGTCGAAGTAGTGCTCTTGGCGCCAAAAGCAGTCCGCACAGGCACTTGCCTAATCTGTTTCTAGAAGGGCAAGAAGCGTGGGCTATGCCCTCCACAAGTGGATGCACCCCGCCCGCGAGGGAAAGCGAAAGTGATGCGTGATGACAAGAGTCAAATAGATGGGAGCTTTGTTCTTCTACAGGACTGGGGCGCCATGGCGCAGTCGGCACCGCGCTCCCCTAGTAAGGGAGAGATCATGGGTTCGATTCCCATTGGCGCCAGTCCACTTCCTTTTTGCTTCTTTTTTTCATTTAAATTATAAACCACAAAAGGCGCGAACAGCCTGCCCACACAACAATCTGCCAGATGCAAGCCGCTGGTGGCCCAACAGATGGATTTGCAGATGTGCAAATGCCGCACGTGGAGCAGGTGAGTCTTACATTTGCAACACTTTCCTGAATGCACCAGAATCGCTACTGATTTCTTTATTGATTGATCTCCTCCAGGCACTGACGGCGTTCTACACGCAACCGGAGCCCGTGCGCTCAAACGCTCATAACTGGCTCATGGGTCTGCAGCGCTCGCCCAAGGGTTGGGATGTCAGTGTCGCCCTGCTGCAGTCTCAAGTACGTGCAGCCCCATCTCCACTGTGCTCAGCAGCTGAACT